AAAAGTCAGTAATTGTAATGTGTAGAGTGACTCCCTTCAAATGTGAAGACATGGAAGATTTAGCTTGCTTTTCCACCCAGTTGTTGTTACCCAGACTGCTGTGGTCTGTTGTGCTTTAGCTCTTCACTATCCCTTTCCATCAGCGCTAGTGAGTCTGTGGTCTCTGTTGGCTTCTTTCTTTTTTATTGTAGCTGAGGTCACCAGGAAGGGTAATTAACTGAATACCCCATGTCTAAGAGCAGATACTTTGTACTAAGAAAGAAAAGGTGTCGAACTCAGTGGGTATTTGAAACTTTGAATCTGAGTTTCTTTCTTTAGTTCCTTTTGTAACTTGACTATCTAAAATGTTACAATTTTAAATTTTATCATTTCACTTGATATAGTTGGAATTAGAGCAGGAATATATAATGTTATTTTAATGTAGGTAGAATTTCTAAAATAACTAATAGTTTCTTATAAAAACTTTCCTGTTAAGTCATGTCCCTTGAAACGTGAGAGTTATATGCGATAAACAGTTTCTTCTCCCCACACATAAATATCACCAATAAAATTGTTTTGTAAGTCTCTGAACTAATTCTTAAATACATCGCCTACCAATTCTACAGCTTCAAAGATATGGTAGTTTTAAAACTGTGTGTAATATAAATGCGCTTAAGAATCACATAGTCTTATGTTCACTCATTCCGTTTGTACAATAGCACCTATCTTTGTTCTATAATAGTTTTGTGTCCTAGAGAGGATTTTTAGTCTTTTATAAACTGTGTACCTAATATTTATAAATAAATATATCTGTATTTCGATGTTTCAGTGACATTTATTTCAACAAATATGAAATGCAGTTTAACCACAGTGAATGAATTTAAATTTTGCTTTTGAAATACATTATAGTGAGATCTGACTTGGAGTTTTTAATATTTAAATATGTGTTTAATAGTGTATTTCTTTTTGAAAAATTATCAGTCTATCTAAAGGTTTACCTAAATTTTTACCATTTTTTTTCATACTTTGTATGAATGGTGCAAAATACGCCATTTTGAAATAAACTTCAAGCTGGCCTGTACTCCTAGCTTTATAATAAGCATACCATATGGTTCATTTAGCCATATAACATAGCTTCGGATACCTCAGTGATAGGGAGCTTGAGATAAGTTGTTCTGTGTTTGGACAAGTTTCATAGAGTGCTTTTTCCCTCCCTTTCCTCCCTTAACTGCAGGAAAATCTGTCTCTTTAAATAGCCCTGGTGCTAACCTTTCCAGACGTAGGTAATTGCTCCTTTTCAGGTGCTCAAGGACGGTTATCATGGCTGATCTCAGTTTGTTCCAAGATAAATATCTCCAAGCATATGATATATGGTGCATAAGCTTTAAAGTCCAATGGATCTACATTCAAAATCTCAGCTCCTACCTTCCCCTAAAAGTTATGTGATCATGGAGAAGTTACTCAGTTGAATTTCATCTTTCTAAGGGGTAAAGTGGAGATCATTCCCTTTGTCATTTTTGTGCTATGTATTATCTGGCTGTCCCCCTGGTTGATTAACCAGAATGGGTACCTGACCCAATCTGGACTGTCAGGTTCCTTTCCATAGGTATTTGGAATCAGGACTGAGAGTCGGTCTTTTCTATGTAGTTATACCTGAAATATGTAAATATGAGGCACTGAGTGACCAAATGAAGGTTGGGGAGCAAAGGTCACCAGTAAACAGAATGATTGAAGTAACTACAAAGCAGACAGAGACTCCTTTTTTTTTTTTTTTTTTTAATTTTTAAAAAATTTGTTTATTTTGAGAGAGATAGGGTGCGCGCAGGGGAGGGGCAGAAAGAGGGAGACAAAGAATCCGAAGCAGGCCCCAGGCTCTGAGATGTCAGTGAAGAGCCTGATGCGGGACCCAAACTGAACCCAGGAACCGTGAGATCATGATCTGAGGGGAAGCCAGACGCTTAACCAACTGAGCCACCCAGGTGCCCCACACCACCCTTCTTAAGTGTTGCTAGTATTAGTAACCTTCCAAATTTTTTCTGTGTATTTAACATATACACAGACTTGTACACCTATAGACACATATGTGTATGTGTGGATTTTGTAGGTTTTGTTTTGCTTTGTTCATAAATGGTACCATACTTCATGTATGGTTTTACAACTTGCTTTTTCTCTAATTTACTAAGTCATAAGGAATTTTTCATTGACCTAGATCAATGTAACATTAAGACTACATGGGAACTTTGTAACTCAGCTTTTGACACTGTTTACGGCTACAAGCAACATCTAACACTGAAGGGTCATGGTTAAGAATCAGACTTGAGGGGCACCCGGGTGGCTCAGTTGATTAAGCGTCTGACTCTTGATTTCAGCTCCGGTCATGATCTCACAGTTCGTGAGTTTGAGCCCCGCATCAGGCTCTGTGCTGACAGTGCAGAGCCTGTTTGGAATTCTCTCTGTCTTTCACTGTCTCTCTCTCTCTCTCTCTGTCCCTCCCTGCTTGCGTGTGTGTATGTATGCTCTGTCTCCAAATAAGAATCAGACTTGAGTCATACCATACCGCTGGGGTTCTAATTCCAGTTTTACCACTTACTAGCTATGGGACCTGAGACAAAAAACCTCTCTGTGCTCCAGAGATAATAATTGTAACTTTAGGGGTGTTTTGGAGATTAAAATGAGTTGATAGCTGACACTTACCATTATCTAGTCCTATTCTAAACACTTCACACGTATTGATTCACTTAAAACAATGCCTAGTACCTTGTATATGTTACCTATAGCAATATTTTATTTCCAATCACTACCCAGTTCAGAAGTCCCCTGCCTGGGAGCCATAGTTTGGCAACAGCTATAGAGAAAAGGGGTCATATCTGTTCTATTTCCTCTTCCCCATGCTCACTAGTCTCTGCTTGCTGCTTGTTACAGGTTGAATTATATCACACCAAAAAAGTTATGTTGGAGTTTTAGCCCCCAGGACTTCAGAATGTGACCTTATTTGGAAATAGGGTCATTGCAGATGTAATTGAGATAAGACTGGACTAGGGTTGGCTCCTAGTCTAATATGACTGGGAAGGTGATGTGAAGACACAGGGAAGAGACAGCATTTTACAAGCCAGAGAGGCCCAGAACAGGTCCCTCTCGGAGTCCTCAGCAAGAATCCTGCTGACACCTTTATTTTGGACACGTAGGCTCCAGAACTGTAACAGGATACACTTTTGTGGTTTAAGCCACTCAGTTTGTGACACTTTGTTTTTGTTAGGGCAGCCCTAGAAAACTAATACATTCATGGAACATGATAAAAGAGTCCTTTTCATGACTATTGACACAGGGCAAGAAAGAAAAGAGTTGGGCGGTTTTATGACTTTTGCCCCAGCACTGTCATGAATATAAAGTGGTGAGGTCTGTGCCTGCGGCTTGAGCAGCATGAGCATTAATTAGTTCACGGAAACTAGTAGCATTCTGGGCATAGACATGTATAGTAGTTTTGTTTTTGTTTCTTTAATTGAAACCAACCAATGCAGATGTTGCAAATGTTGACCATTCAGAAAGAACATTATACTCCAGAGACCCTGCTCTTATCTCTACGTTATAGAATGATAGCATATTAACGCTGCCATATTATGGTGAACACGTTCAGCACAGACAAGTACAGACAGAAGTTGTTCTAATATGTATATATTCTAATACAGTGAAACCTTTGTTTGCAAGCATAATTCGTTCCAGAAACATGCTTGTAATCCAAAGCACTTGTATATCAAAACGAATTTCCCATAAGAAATCATGGAAACTCAGATGGTTCGTTCCACAACCCAAAAATATTCATGTAAAAATGATAACAATACTGGGGGACCTGGGTGGCTCAGTTGGTTAACCATCTGACTTTGGCTCAGGTCATGATCTCGCTGTTCATGAGTTCAAGCCCCGCTTTGGGCTCTGTGCTGACAGCTCAGAGCCTGGAGCCTAATTCGGAGTCTGTGTCTTCCTCTCTCTCTCTGCTCCTCCCCCGCTCACGCTCTGTTTCTCTCTCAAAAAAATAAAAAAATAAAAAAAAATTTTAATGATAACAAGATTGTAATATAATACAAAATAATAAAGAAAATACAAAATATAAAGAAAAATTAACTGCACCTACCTTTGAAAACCCTCATGGCTGATGTGGGGAGACAACAAGAGAGGAGGGTTATTGTGTAGGACGATTTTCAATATCACTAACAGAATCACGGCTGTCTCTTGGCTCAATGGAATCTTTTTCTTTTTGTGCAGCTTTAACAAGGAACCTATCCAATGACCTAGAATGAAGCAAAGTGTTCCTAAGGTTACTCTTGTATGGAAAAGCAAAGGACTGTCCATTGGTGCTTTGAAGTGACAAAAAATACACCAGTGCCAGTTCCAACATTCTGAAAAATCACTGATTTCTGCCAAACACAATGGCCTGAGACCCAGCATCGGAGCATGGGAGACATCACCCACAATCCCAGAGAGAGAGAGAGAGAGGGAAGAATCTTTGGCTCAGTTGTGATCATGTGACTTTCAACATCATGTACTACTCGTATTACAAGACTTAGCTCCTTTATCAAGTTAAAATTTATTAGAAATGTTTGCTCGTCTTGCAGAACACTCACAGAACAAGTTACTCGCAATCCAAGGTTTTACCGTACACCCATTTTGATTTTCACACTACTCCTATGAGGCAGGTCCTATACTCATACACAGAGAGGTTTAATGACTTGCTGTATGAGTTTTCTAGACTTGCCCTTATAACAAATCACCACACAGTGGCTTAAAACAACACAAATGTATTCTCTTCTGCAAGTCAGAAGTCTGGATTAGACCTCACTGCACTAAAAACAAAGTATAGACAGGATTGTGTTTCTTCTGGAAGTTCAAGGGGGCAATTTGTTTCCTGGCCTTTTCCAGCTTCTTGAGTCCTCCTGCATCCCTTGGCTGATGGCCCCGACCTCCATCTTCAGATCTCTCTGACCACTACTCTGCCCCTCTCTTCCACTTGCAGGGGCCCTTGTGATCACACTGGGCCTGCCTGGAGAATCCAGTCATCTCCATATTTTAGACTTAGTTGGTTAGCAACCTTAATTCCACCTGCAATCTTAACTGCCTTTACCATGGAACCTAACATCCACAACTTCCATGGAGAAGGATATGGGCATGGGGGGTGGGGGGACTGTTTCCCTCTCCACACTTGCCCAATGTCACTCAGCTAGTAAGGGGAATGCTGGGCCCAAGAAACTAGTCTACATGAGCTGTTCGCTTAAATTGGAGGCAAACCTCACGTTGCTGGAATATTCTTTCCCCTCAATGTTACTGGCATTGTTCTAGAGCAACGTGGATGAACAACTTTTAAAACGCGCCCTTAGTAGGCCCGGCTACTCCGATAACAGCGCCTCCCGCCCAACCCGGGGACCTTCCATCACTGGCAACCCGAGAGACGACCTGCTGGGCCCGCCCAGCGGAAACGCGCGGACGCAGAAGCCGGCTCGGGTCGCCGGGGAAGCTGGTAAGCGGTGCTGCCGCCAGGCACGGAGACTCTGGAAGAATGAGCGCGACCGCAGTGGCGGCCTGGGGCCCCTGGAGCGGGCGATGCCCTCGCGCGGCGGGGGCGAGCGGGAGACCGGCTCTCGGCGCTCGAGGATCCACACCCCAGCTCCGCCCCGGGCCTGGGCCGCTCGCCCGCAGGTCCCCTCCCCCCTCTCCCTCGCAGCCTTGGGTCCTTTGAGCGCCCGGCGCCGCGCAGGTGCACCGCAGGTGCAGGTGGAGGACTGCGAGGTGGCACGGATTCTCCCGGAGGAAGGATTTGGGCGCGGCTGGCCTCCCGCATGGTGCGGTCACCGCACGCGACCCCTTCTAAACTTGAACGCCAAGGTTTTGCACCCGTGCTCCCATTTCTGGCCATTTGCAAATCACTTTTACTAGTTTTTGATTGGGAGAGGCATGCAAAGGGACTTTGTGACGCTCAGAGTATACACAGGTCTTTTACCGAAATATGGGTGTTAATATTGAGCAATGGGCAAATATGGGCAGAAAGGACCAAATAAATGCTGGTTTTCAGTTAAGAAAAATCAGTGGTTGCCCTTCCTCATCGGTTACTGTCCATTACATAAAATAAAGACCCTGAAGAATAAAAGAATAGGAACATGGGAAAACTTGGCCTCCTTGTTAAATCGGGTAGTACCAAGAGTCAATTAGAATATGGCAAAGAACTTGTTTTCTTTCAGATCCCTGAATATACTGAAAACCTGACTGTTCCTGAAAAGAATTGGTTTTGAACACAATGCATCTAAGTTAGTCAATATGCAGAAATTTCTAGAGTTTCCTGGCCCTTCTATGACACGCATGAATACAAATGGCATTTTACAGGTCCCTGTACTATGTAGGTTTTGGTTTGTGAGTTTTGCTTTACCTACGGTGCTCTCCGTGCCTCATAATTCTTTGTGGTGTGATTTTAAAACAAAAACAAAACTACAAGTAAGCTTTCTAAAAGCTAAGGTAATTCATTCTAGTGAGTTTTTTTTTCCTACAGTGAAAAAAATTGCATCATCTTTCTAAAATTGTAATAATAATAATAACAGCTGCCATTTATCCAGGGTCTCCTCTGTACCAGGCAGAGTGTTAGGAACTTTGTCTTCTTTCTCCTTTACCTGTGATCCATCCAGCTAGCTGCTTCATCCTAGAAATAACAGAAAGGGACACTGAAGTTCAAAGGCTCTGCGTGTCTCTTCTTCTTCTTCTTCTTTTTTTAATGTTTATTTAATTTTGAGAGAGAGAGAGAGACACGGAGCGAGCGAGGGAGGGGCAGAGAGAGAGGGAGGGGCATAGAGGGAGGGAGACACAGAATCTGAAACAGGCTGACAGCTCAACACAGAGCCCCACTCGGGGCTCGAACTCACCAGCCGAGAGATCTTGACCTAAATCAGAGGCTTAACTGACTGAGCCACCCAGCTGCCCCACTACTTATCTTTCTTAATCCCAGGCATCTCCAACTCAACATGTCCTAAAATGAACATGTCTCCCTTCACCATGCCTTTCCCCGCCCCTGCCACACTCTCACTGCCAGAAACACACACACAGACACACACACGTACACACAGCACCACCACCACCATTGTGGTTTTCCTTTCTTTCAGGGAATGATGTCATTCACCCAGTTTATACCAGAAACCTGGGAGTCTACCTTGTCCCCTTCTCCCAGCTTGTTCCCCATAAATGTATTGCTAAAACCCTTGCGAATTCTTTCTACATATTTCCTTCTTGTTTCTTCATCGCCATTGCCACCACCCTCTTCTACTCCATCATCATTTTTTTGCCTTTTTTGTTGGAGTCCCACTCCAGCCCTCAGGCCCCCTCCCCTCTGCGATCCATTTGCTCTGCAGCCAGAGTGAGTGAGTTTTCTAATATGCTCTCGATTAAAATCCTTCAGAGACAGCACATTCATTACCCCAAAGAGAAAATCCAGCCACCTGAGCTTGACGTACAGTAGCTTTCATACAAGGCCCTGTCTGCCTCACCAGCCTGTTACAGTTCTTTCACTTCCTTGAACTGAACAGTCTCTTTTGCTCTTAACATATGCCAGCCCCTCTGCCTACATCACTCTTCTCTCTTTTCCTGGCCAACTTCCATTCATCCTTCAGACTTCAGTTAAATACCATTTTCCTAACTCCTCTGGATATTTCTGCCGTGTGCCAGCGTAACTCTGTGAGACTCACCACCCTGCATTTGTTGAGGTCGGAGGTCTCTGCTTTGGGGCACATGCGATGGCAGGGACCATGAGAGACCAAAGTGCAGTGCTGTAAAACTGCATCTAGCACTGAAGTATACAAACCACACTTGACCCTTGAACAACACGAGTTTGAACTGCTCAAGTTCACTTATGTATGGATGTTTTGATAAATGCAGTACAGTTCTGTAAATGTATCTTTAAAGTTTATTTATTTATTTACTTATTTATTTAGAGAGAGCAAGCATGATTGAAGGAGGAACAGAGAGAGAGGGAGAGAGAGAATCCCAAGCATGCTGTCGGTGTGGAGCCCAGTGTGGGGCTCCATGCAGGGCTCGAACTCAGGAACTGTGAGATCATGACTGGAACCGAAATCAAGTTGCTTAGCTGCCTGAGCCACCCAGGTGCCCCTGTAAATGGGGTTTTTATTCGGGATTATAAAAGCTGGCGTGAGTGTTCAGTGTCTACCTGTTCAGCGGTAGACAAGGAATAAATTGCTGTTGTCCTATTAGGGTGATTAGAGCTACTTCGAATTGATTCTGCCTTTTGAAAATACATTTAATTGTCAAAATTTCTGTTTTTGAATACAGGTTGGGAGAGGCTGTGGTGACTGTGCGAGTGGAGGAGGGCTGTGGGGTGCCCCAGCATGGATGGCTACTTGGTCCTAAGAGTAATTGGAGAGGGCTCCTTCGGCAGAGCCCTTTTGGTTCAGCAAGAGAACAGTAATCAGACGTTTGCCATGAAGGAAATAAGGCTTCCCAAGGTACCTCCTGAAGCAATTAGCTCATGTCGAAAGTGCACATGCAATTTGGCCAGGGAAATAAGTTCTTGAGATTTAACATGGAATTGCTTTTGTGAGCAAAAGATGTAATGAGTTTATTCATTAGCTTTACAAGGTCTTGATATATCTGTATATCATATATATATATGATATATACATATATATGCATATATCATATATATATGATATATACATATATGTATATATATGTATATATCATATATATATGATGTATGCATATATATGCATATATATATTTTTTAAGTTGCATTTACTTAATACAACTTACTAAATGTCTACACCCAACGCGGGGCTCAAACTCATGACCCCAAGATCAAGTGTCAGATGCTCTTTTGACTGAGCTAGCATGTCTTGATATATTTTATATGAATTTTTGGATATTGTAATTAACAATAAGGGAGAAAAATAGTCCAGGAGGCAATTGCTGTTGCTTTTATCTCAAAGAATAATTTGTAATAATTTCCAATTTTGCGTACCTAAGAGGGTAAGAATCTTTGCCAACAGCAGCTCAGGTGTCATATTAATGAAAATGGAGCATAAAAATGCCATGAAGAACAAAAACCTAAAGTGCCAACCTTTGGTCTCAGGGAACATATTCTGTGGCTCAGTTTTGGGTTTTATTTCCTTGTAAGATGAGGAAGGTGCTGACTTATCAGTGTTTATCATAGTTGTCATAGAAACAATGTGTCATAGAAAAGAATGTGCCAGGGAGGCAGCTTGATAATGTCTTGATCAAGTTTTTAAAAATACATTTTAATAAAATTCTCAGAATTGTATTTCCCCACTGCATCCTTGACCTCGTTTAGTGATTCTCAGCTGGGCTTCAGAGTCATCTGGAGGTGAAAACACAGATGGCTGCCCCCCCTTCTGGTTGAGTAGGTCCAGGTGGGCCTGTGAATTTGCATTTTTAAGGAGTTCCCAGATGGTGGCGGTGCTGCTCTGCGAACCCTTATGCTAGTATGTAGTCAATGGCAGTTTCTTAATTGAAAGATAAGTCATTCAGGATTTCGTCCTCGGAGAATAAGTGAGGGGACAAACAGCTTTGGAAGCTTCTTTTGTAAATCATCTCCTTCCATCCTTACCACAGTAACGCATCAGTCTCCTTTTTCATCTGGGCCAGTGGTCTGGAAACGTAATGCAGACAGTAAAACATGACAGCCCCAGATTTTCTTTAAGGATAACTATTGTTAATGGCATCTTGGCTCCCCCAAAAATTTATGCTCAGGCTCATGTTAAAAAAAATGTTTTAGGGGCACCTGGGTGGTTCAGTCAGTTGAGCCTCCGACTTTGGCTCAGGTCATGATCTCACAGTTTGTGGGTTCGAGCCCCACGTTGGGCTCTGTGCTGCCAGCTTAGAGCCTGGAGCCTGCTTCGGATTCTGTGTCTCCCTCTCTCTCTGCCCCTCCCCCACATGTCTCTCATGTTTTTATTTATTTTTGACAGAGAGAGAGAGACAGAACGAGGGCAAGTCGGGGAGGGGCAGAGAGAGTGGGAGACACAGAATCCGAAGCAGGCCCCAGGCTCTGTGCCGTCAGCATAGAGCCCTAGGAGGACTTGAACCCATCAACTGTGAGGTCATGACCTGAGCAGAAGTCAGACCCTTAACCGACGGAGCCACCCAAGCACCCCTCTTAGACTGTATTAAAACTGGTTTATATTCTATGCTTGTAAGGATATAAGGGGTCAGCTTAAGCATAATACAGCCATAATTAAAAAAATCACCACATTTTCTCTTAAGAGTTTGATAAACATAAGTTGGGTCAAAGTGCAGTGCTTTAAAACTGCATCTAGCATTGAAGTATACAAAGCACACCTGACCCTTGAACAACTCAGGTTTGAACTGCATGGGTCCACTTATATGAGTATTTTTTTGATAAACGCAGTATAGTAGTATAAATGTATTTTTTCTCCCTTGTGATTTTCTTAATAACATTTTCTTTTCTTTAGCTTTATTGTAAGAATACAGTATATAATACATAAAACATACAACACGTGTGATAACTGACTGTGCATGTTATTGGCAAGGCTATTAGTAGCTACATTTTTGGGGAGTCACATATCACATGTGGATTTTCAATTGCACGGGGGCCATTGCCCCTGACCCCCATGTGGTTCAGAGGTCAACTGTATACTGTATTGTTGTAAAGCTATCTATTTTAAAATGAAGTATTACATTTATGCTGTTTAAAATCTTTTTCTAGTCTTTCTCTGGTACAAGGAATTCTAGGAAGGAGGCTGTTCTGTTAGCCAAAATGAAACACCCCAATATTGTTGCCTTTAAAGAATCATTTGAAGGTAAATATGAATTCCCCCAAATACATGCAATGTAAAATTTGATTTGTGGCCACCAGGCTTTCCTAAAGAGTCTTCTTGTTTTAGCTGAGGGACACCTGTATATTGTGATGGAGTATTGTGACGGAGGGGACCTCATGCAAAAGATTAAGCATCAGAAAGGAAAGTTGTTTCCTGAAGATATGGTAAGAGACTGACTTATATAGTTTCTCTCAAGGTTTGGAAGCAAACTTTCCTTGTAAAATTTGTAGAAGTTCAAATAAAGGCATTGTACCTGTGATTACCTGATACGCTTGTTAGATTCACACTTGTTAGAAACAACTCATTTCCATTATCAGTGCTACAGCTTTGTGTTCAAGATCTGGCTGCCTGAGATATCTTTAGGAAGTTAAACAGATATGTTGATAAAATATCAACATTAAAATTTTTTTTTTTTAATTTTAAAGAGGGAGAGTGCAAGCAAGGGAGGGGCAGAGAAAGAGAGAGAGAATGTTTGGCAGGCTCCACACTCATCGCAGAGGCCAACACAGGGCTTGAAGCCACAACCGAAATCAAGACCTGAGCTGAAATCAAGAGTTGGATGCTCAACAGACTGAGCTCCCCAGGCACCCTTGTTTATAAAATATCAAGGAATAAAACTTATGTGTTTAGAAGAATTTCAAAATTGTCTGATTCATATATTGCCCTATATATTTAAAATTCACAATTGTGTTATATTGAAATTTCAGAAGGTGGATGGATTTATTTTGCATTACAGGATCATCCAAAGAATGAAGCGTAAATTCCTTTTTCTTGAGAGTATGTATTCTCACTCTTTTTCCTTTTACAGATTAGCACATTCCCTTACAGATTAGCACATTCCTTTAAGTCTAGTACTTCCTGCCTTTTTAATGAAAACTTGTGTATTAAATACTATTGAAATGAATTGACGAAGGAAAATATTTAAATAAACAACCTTAATGAGATTTAGTTTGATTTAGGGAACAATGCATGTTATGAAAGTATATTGGTATAAATATTTTTCATTTAGAAGTTGTGGTATTAAAAATATGGGTTCCAGAGAAGGAAGTCAGCCTTGACTTCAAAGGAATGAATCTCCATAGCAAAAAAGAAAAAAACTCGGGGCGCCTTGGTGGCTCAGTCGGTTAAGCATCTGACTTCCGCTCAGGTCATGATCTCACAGCTGGTGAGTTTGAGCCTCATGTCAGGCTCTGTGCTGACAGCTCAGAGCCTGGAGCCTGCTTTGGATTCTGTGTCTCCTTCTGTCTCTCTGCCCTTCCCCCCAGTCTCACTCTGTCTCTCTCTCAAAAATAAACATTTAAAAAACATTTTATTTTTTAAAAATTAAAAAAAGAAAACAAAAGAAATCAGTTTGACATTTAAACATAGGCTTCCTAGGCACCTGGAGATTCTGAGTACTGTTGACTAGGGATTTATGAGCAGAAAATGCTGACCTCACAGGATTGTTGACAATAGAATGAAATCCTTTAATGTTAACATATGAGCATTCTGACAAAGTAAATGAAAATCTGACATAATGATTACAAAAAGGAGTAGTGTATTTATTCCTTAGTGATGAACTATCTTTATATACATATTTAAGAAATACTTTTATTTGGTTGAATTCAAGAAAACCATAGCGAGAGTTTTATTGAACTAAGTTGTTATTTAGATCATACATAAGATGATGAAACATGGGCTTCACGGTTTTTCTGAATTTCTCCAGGCAACATTGAATCTTAGTTGAACTATGTAATTTTTAGGAGTTCTGTATTTACATTATGGAAAACCCAGGTGAACTAAGGCCTAGAGACGATTCTTTAGGATTTGGGGTTAACATGAACCAGTTATTGCATTCCTGCAATTATTGCCTCCTTTTTCCTTCCAGATACTTAATTGGTTTACACAAATGTGCCTTGGAGTAAATCACATTCACAAGAAACGCGTGTTACACAGAGATATCAAGTCCAAGGTAAGTGGAATACCTTGTGGGGCCTAAAAGCAAAAACAGAAACAAAAACTGTTCCACTCAGTCTTTTTTCTGTGTTATTCTGTTTCCTTCTGGGACATTTTTATTTAGCTTAGAAATATTTGTCATCCTAATATTTATACAAGCCAGATAAGGTACTACCTGAAAAAGATCATTAGATCTCTTTAGTAGTATATGTTAATATGATCCACACTCTCTTTGCGACTGCTTACTGTGATCATATGATCTCTGATGGAAAATGGTCAAGACCTAGACCAGCCACATGGAGGCATCATGCTGACACAGGCTCCCAGGCGGTCCATCAGGCTCTGCTGATACAATCTTAAGCTCACTTGTTTGATTTCTAAACAGATATCCTGAATTTCCAAGCAGGGGAATATGTAGCTGTCAAGAGGGTATCTTGTCCTTTTGTGTTCCACTCAGGGACTCAGCTGTCAGCATCTCTCCCCTTAATCTCTGTCATCAGTGGGCTTTGAAAGACAGCTTCTCCGGAAATCTCTGCCTTATGTGTGAATGATGGAAGACATAATCTGAGGTCTTCTTTTTTAAAAAATTTTTTTTTTTCAACGTTTATTTATTTTTGGGACAGAGAGAGACAGAGCATGAACGGGGGAGGGGCAGAGAGAGAGGGAGACACAGAATCTGAAACAGGCTCCAGGCTCCGAGCCATCAGCCCAGAGCCTGACGCGGGGCTCGAACTCACGGACCGCGAGATCGTGACCTGGCTGAAGTCGGACGCTTAACCGACTGCGCCACCCAGGCGCCCCATGAGGTCTTCTTTTTTAACGCAGAATATCTTCCTCACCCAAAATGGAAGAGTAAAACTGGGAGATTTTGGATCTGCCCGTCTTCTCTCCAGGTATGTACTTCTGTTCTGTAGCAATCAAAACCTCCATTCTTCAGGAATGCTCTATAATCATTCTTTGCCTTTTTATGGTTTCAGTCCTATGGCGTTTGCTTGTACATATGTGGGAACACCTTATTATGTGCCCCCAGAAATTTGGGAAAACATGCCTTATAACAATAAAAGGTAAGTAATGTATTTAATTCGATTGCAAGCATGACCACTTGGCGACAGGCACTGCAGCCTTCAAATGAAGTTTGATCTTTAAAATTACATATTTGAAAGCAATGTAGAATGCCCAGGCTTCTAAATGAAAGTCACAGTTTCCCAACTGTTTTAATCAGAGCTGAAAGGAGCCAAAGGTAGATGCTGAAGGAAAGGCTAGTCACGTCTAGGGACAGTGTGAATGATAACACTGCTTCTCACACTCTGCCGCTCCCACTTTTGAAAATCCCAAGGCACAGGTTACAGCTCTGCCCTATACATCAGAATGTCTGGGGGTAGGAAGTAGGCATCGGTAATTTCCAGGATCCCCAAATGATTCCAATGTGCAGCAGAATTCGGGGACCACTGGGTTATGTCAATGAGTTAACACTACAGGACTGGATAATGAGCACTTAACCGATAGGTTAATTAAATATAAGGAGAGAATATTAAGGCCTTATGGTTTAAAAAATAATATTTTTCTGAATACAAGTAATACGTGCCCATTGATGGAGTGGATGAGCAGGGAGAATTTTGGCAGTAGAGAGATATATAAGAAAGGATATGACTGTCCCTTTTTCCCTGCTATTAATAACATTTTGGTGTTTTTTCCATCCATTCACTTCCCCCCCAAACCTAGTTTATGTACTCTATATGCATCGTGGCTTCCTGCTTTTTTTTTACTTTACATTATATCATATTCATTTCACTATGCATTTAAACTCTTCATAAATAGTGTTGTTGATCTAATGATATATTTCCAATTTTCAGCATCACAAACAGTATTGCAATTAATATACCTGTTGTGCCTAAATATAGGTCATTATTTTCTACACATTCCTGGCATGAATTCCTAGAAGTAGAAACACCTCAAGGCTCTTGTTACCTTTTGTCAAGTTGATTTCTGGAAAGGCATGATAATCCATACTGAATAGGTTCCTTTAAGAGTAAAATTGAGTGAACTGGGAATAGAACAGCTGTCCAGGAACTTATGGGGACAATTGGGGAAATTGGAGTTTGGACAAATATTCAATAATAGTACTGAATTAAGGTTACATTTCTTGGACGTGATCATGGTTTTGTGTTTATGAGGGAGAGTGTTCCTTGTTCTTAGGAGATACATGCCGACATGTTTAGGGGTGAAGGCTTTGCTGTCTGCAGTCTTTTTTATAAGAGGTTCAGATTTATATGGAAGAGGGTAATAGCCTACCAACGTGGCAAATGTTAACATTGGGGAGTCTAAGAAAGAGCATGCGGGCATTTACTTTTCTGTAGGTTTGAAATTAAAAAAAAATAAAGAGTTGGGGGAAACGGTTGCTTAAAGCCATTAGTTAAAATGCAAAGAACATCACATAGAAAAGGTCTGGGGCATGGCAACCAGGCGGTGAGAGCGATGGAGGAAAAGGGGATGCTTCGCATGCAGAAGGGTGGGCGTGTGGGGCAAACTAGAGAAGTCAGTTTTCTGATTTTTGAAGAACTGTTTGTGGAGGGATGAGTTGGCTTATTCTCTTTGTTTAGGTATGTGGAGCTAACACGGGGTGGTGAGGGTTCCCAAGAGACACATTTTAGCTTCTGATAAGGAAGACGGCCAGCCCACAGAGCCAGCCAGCAGGGGCGTGGGCCCCACCCGGGGTTGAGCGCTGTTCATCAGGGCCTGGGACTGTACACAGGTCTGAGTGGGAGCTGCACTGCATGACTTCTTTTTTTTTTTTTTTTTTTTTTAAATTTTTTTTTTCAACGTTTATTTATTTTTGGGACAGAGAGAGACAGAGCATGAACGGGGGAGGGGCAGAGAGAGAGGGAGACACAGAATCGGAAACAGGCTCCAGGCTCTGAGCCATCAGCCCAGAGCCTGATGCGAGCCTGACGCGGGGCTCGAACTCACGGACCGTGGGATCGTGACCTGGCTGAAGTCGGACGCTTAACCGACTGCGCCACCCAGGCGCCCCTGCACTGCATGACTTCTAAAGTCCTTCCAACTATGCTAGTCTGAGTCCACAGATACACCCTCTTGTACATGCTGCTGAAATCATACCGGAACCACCCTGATTTGGGAGGGTAGGGGCTGGGGAACAGAGAGTTGTATTGTGAACATTCCTGTTAGTAAATATCTAAGTGTTAGACCAAACTTACCATATAGTTTATTTCATTTTTTTTATTATTTTATCATATGTTTTATTGTAATAGCTAGGAATTACTTATGACACCTATTCTTATTAAAGGTAATATTTCATTTTTTTTTTTTTTTTTATATTCCACATATTCACTCATAACCCATTTGTCATTACGTTGCTTCTTTATGCTTCCAGTGACATCTGGTCCTTGGGATGCATTCTGTATGAACTCTGTACCCTTAAGCATCCAGTAAGTATGGTGTGCAAAATGGAAAAGGCAGCCTCTTGTCATGTCTGGCTATGTCCTCAGCAATGTACCAGATTCTACTTGGCAGTTGGCTTTCCTGGGTTAATGTAGGAGTGCTGACCGCATAGACTCCATCTTTGGCCTTCCGTCTTGTTCTTCCCTCTGGCTCACAGCTGGCACCACTTTAGATAACTGCCTTGTGGCCTCACCACCATGCCCCTCACTCCATAAAAGCTTGGGGTTAAGGTCAGCATAGCTGGGGAGAAGGGGTGAAGAATGGGGACAGAGAATAGTTGTGTAGTGCCTGGATCCGCCTCCTGCCTCACCCGCCCGCCCATCCCCCCCCCCGTCTGTAAGTTACCCTGCATAAAACTCAGTGTAAATGGTACCGAGTGACTTGCTTCGTTTTTCAGTACTAAAGTACCTTGTCAGTCTGGAGGATACATTACTGACCCTCCTCCAGCTTCTCGCGGATGAATTCATACACAAGTTTTCATTCCGTTGGTATCACCTTTGCCTTGAGCCCCTTTTGTAGCATATACTAACAGGAAATTTCCAAGATTTAGTTTTTGTAGTTGTATATTTGGCTTGCCTGCTTGACTGCCTTCTTTGCTTCCTTCCCTCCTTCTCTTCTTCCCTTTTTCCGCTATTCTCAATTTTTTTTATGTTGGTAAAATATATGTAACATAAAATTTACCACGTTAACCATTTTAAGTGGCACCGATTACTTCACAATATTGTGCAGTCATTACTACTACCTATCTGCAGAACTTTTCCATGGCTCCAAACAGGAAACTCTGTACCCATTAAACGATAACTTCTCATCCCCGTCCCTCCCCGCCAGCCCCTGGTGACCTTTAATCCACCTTTTGTCTCTGTAAATTTGCATATTCCAGATATTTCATGTAAGTGGTATTACACAGTACTTTTCCTTTTGGGTCAGAATTTCATACCTTTCTGTGACTGAATATTCCATTGTGTGTTTGTACGACGTTTTGTTTATCCATTTATCTGTTGTTGGACATTTGGGTTATTTTCACCTTTTGGCTATTGTGGAAAAAATTATTTTTATATTTATTTTTTCAAGATATTTTAAGAAATAATGCAGCAAAGAAGAGGTTAAATGACTTGTCCTGCTTATTGAGCACTTGTTTATTAACACAGAACTAACAATACCAGTCCCTGTTAGGTCTTAGCCTTGCGTAGTAATAAATTCTGTTCTTGGGGCACAGATTGAAACTTGGCTCTAACCAAGCATTTTTTTTGATTTTTAATTTTTAAAATTTTAATTGAAATATGGTTGACATAGAGTCTTATATTAGTTTCAGGTGTAAAACATAGTGATTCAACTGTTCCATACAATGGAAAATGCTCACCGTAAGTGTAGCTACCCTCTGTCATCACACAAAGTTATTACAATGTTATCGACTATATGCCCCATGCTGTACTCTTCATCCCTGTGACTTATTTATTTCATACTTGGAAGCCTGTGCCTCTTAATCCCCTTCACCTATTTCACCCATCCCCATCCCCCTCTACCAAGCATCTTTACAGACGTGCTTGAGAACATATGAGAGTGAATGAAGGAGAAAAAGCCTTCACCACCATTAGGTGAAAGGAACTCACAGTGAAGGCACATGAGGTTAAGAGGCTGTCTTCCTTGAATATGTGTGGTTTATAATGCCAGCTGCATGATTAGAACAATTTGGGAAACCTTAAAAAATGGTGATGTCTTGGGGCGCCTGGGTGGCGCAGTCGGTTAAGCGTCCGACTTCAGCCAGGTCACGATCTCGCGGTCCGTGAGTTCGAGCCCCGCGTCAGGCTCTGGGCTGATGGCTCAGAGCCTGGAGCCTGTTTCCGATTCTGTGTCTCTCTCTCTCTCTCTCTCTGCCCCTCCCCCGTTCATGCTCTGTCTCTCTCTGTCCCAAAAATAAATAAACGTTGAAAAAAAAAAAATGGTGATGTCTGGGCCTATGCCAGACTAATTGAATTAAAATCCCTGATTGTGTCTTGGATGGTAGTGGTTCTAAAACAGTTAATTCTAATGTGTAGCTCAAGTGGAAAACCACTGTTGTATACAAATAATTTTTAAAATTCCAGTATCTTATTTAGGATTATATTCTTTATTCCCCTGATTTTGTCTTTTTTTTTTTTTTTTTTTTTTTTTTTTTTGTAGACTTTCATATACCTGTTCGTATTTTTTTCTAGCAAGAATAAGAATTCAGGAGTGTAGGGCCTCGATGTTCGGCACACCGTCTGTTCTCTCATCTGCTTTGAGGCAAAAGTAGTTCTCCAACCTTTAGGAAATGCAGAAACCTGGCGTAATGGTTCCAAAGCAGATTCACGCTTATGTTTCACTACCTGAATTTTTCTCTTGTAATATGTTGATTTTTTTCCTTTTTCATATCTTCACCTGTATATTTCATCCATAGGGTAGCGCCCTTCCAAGGCAGAATGCCAACATGTTCTTACTTGAGTATTACCGGGGCTAACCAACATCTAATCTTCATTCCAGTGTCTATTATGCAGTAGAGATTTTTTTAATGTTATTCTGGCATGTCATTTTGTATCCCATTCTATTGCTTACCAAATTTTAATAGCTACTTTGATGACATGAAAGGTAAAAGAGATTTGGCAGTAGAGGTCTAAAGCTGGAAAAGTCTGGAGTATCCATCACAGCGGGGCAGGCCTGGGAGATTTTGAGGTTCAAAGGGATGTTACACTTATCATAAGGCTGTGAGTACCGTTGAGTTCTTAAAAAGCTACATGTATGTGTCACTTTGATTTTTAAAATATGTTAAAAATGTGTATCTGCAAACACATTGATTATGAGTGAGAGCGTACCCAAAGCTGGCACTGATGCTAAGACTTTCTCTAGATGGGGAAGTTTTGCACTATTTATGCTTACCTTTCTTCTGAACCCAACGTAAGATTTCGAATAGTACCTTAAGGAACCCCCTCCCCCAGGAAGAAAAATGACCAGGCAGCAGATACATTTATAAAATTAAAATGATTCATGAGAATTCAGTTGAGCTGGTAATTTCTTACTTCTCCTCTTCCCTCGTATCTGCTCTTATAGTTTGGTTTTACCTTTTAGTTTCAGGCAAATAGCTGGAAAAGTCTTATTCTCAAAATATGTCAGGGGTCCCTGAGGCCACTGCCATCTCAGTACTCCTGTGAGCTGCAGCATCTGATCAAGCAGATGTTTAAGAGGAACCCCTCACATCGCCCTTCTGCTACAACACTTCTCTCTAGAAGTTCCTTGGCTCGACTTGTCCGCCAGTGCTTACCCCCAGAGGTATGATACGTGTTGGATCCGCTGTGATCAGTTTTCGAGTGTGGTAAAATGATTCGTTATCTTTTAAACACTGACGTGTTGTACATGCTTATAAAGATGCAAATAATGCAGAACTGTATTAAAAAAATACACACTTCCTTTCCTTTCTTCTCTCCCTTCCGCAATGCTATTCCCTGAGAATAATCACAGAATCTGTCTGTGTAAGCTTTCAGATATTTTTCTAGACCTATAGAAACATCTACTTGTGTGCCTAAATGATATGTATTTTCTAAATGGCATTTTTACTTCCCTTTTTTTAATTAGAAAAGTTTTTTTAATGTTTACTTATTTTTGACATAGAGAGAGAGAGACAGAGTGAGTGGGGGAGGGCAGAGAGAGACACAGAATCTGAAGCAGGCTCCAGGCTCTGAGCTGTCAGCAGAGCCCGACGCGGGGCTCAAACTCACAAACTGTGAGATCATGACCTCAGCCAAAGTCAGATGCTCAAAATGACTGAGCCACCCAGGCACCCCAGTATTTTTACTTTTCAACTGTAAATATGATTGTGGGGAAGAATGTTGATAATTAAATGACATTATGGCAATGTCTATAGAAAAGCATATTCCACATCTTTAAATTCTCTGCTTTAAATTTTCAGATCATCACAGAATATGGTGAGCAGGTATTAGAAGAAACCAAAAATTCCAAGCATAGTACACCAAGAAAAAAAAGTAAGAATTTTGGACAGCTTATTTTTTGCTCGGTGTTCTTTTAAAATGTAGTGTAACAAAAAATAAAAATATGATTTTCAAGTTACTGGAGACAATTTCAGAGATACTCCTAAAAGTCAAATTTTTCTTACTGCTATTTCTGATGTAATTCTGTACTGACTCTTGTATATTTAGTTTGCTAGGAATCAAAAAGCCTAGTTTGGAGATTTTAGGGATGTGCAGATTGTTCTCTGTTTCATTATTAGTACCAAGTTTACTTTGGTCAGGTAGAAGGCTTCTGTGGGCTAGCCTAGGAATACAACCATGAAAATACAATGTTAATCTTCTAGGAAATTATCCCCAAGTTTCCAAAGAATCATCTGGTAAACAAAATTTTAAAAACAGCCTTTTTCGGAAGTTGGAACTGTCCACATAATGGCTGCACAGAATTTCCATACATGTTTAGTCAATCCTGAACAAATTTCAAATGTAATTTATTGTCTCTTTGGAAATTGTCATCTCTTAATTTTTGCAAAGCTATTATTGTCCCTTTTATTTAAAAAAAAAATTTTTTTTTAAGTAAACTCCATGCTCAATGTGAGGCTCGAACTTATGACTCTGAGATCAAGACTTGTTGTATGCTGTGCCCACTAAGCCAGTCAGGTGCCCCTGTTTTTGTTCCTTTTTATTTATCATCAGTGACTCAGACCTTCCATCTGATGAGATCCAACGGATGGTAGCTATGACCGGAATAAGAGAGGAGAGAAATAGAAATAGATCATCCAGTCACTGTAGGGACATGTTGCAAAACCTCCATTGTTTGGTTCTCACTGTCTTCGCGTTGGATACTCCAAGAGAAACACTCAAAAACTGTGCTGTTTTCTGAAAGTTAAATTTTAAATGTTATTTTTGTAAGAATGTAATGTGAGCCCTTTGGTCTTGTAATTCAGCCTTTTCTCCATTCCTTCAGGGGTGGCCAGTGCCCTTTGTTTCAGCAGTTTGCTTTAGTGTTAATTGTACTTTACATACTATTTTGTGGCTTTTGTCTGCATCCCAGGGGAGTGGCAAATAGTTTTAAAATGCTGAGCAACAACAATAAAAAACAGTCTTAAGATAAGTTTCAAGATAGTTTGGCTAAGTGTAGTTTTACAACTTTCTTTCTTTCTTTCTTTCTTTCTTTCTTTCTTTCTTTCTTTCTTTCTTTCTTTCTTTCTTTCTTTCTTTCAGTTTACTTACCTTGAGAGAGAGAGTGAGCAGGGGAGGGGCAGAGAGACAGGGAGACAGAGAATCCCAAGCAGGCTCTGCACTGCCATCAGGGAGGCCGACGTGGGGCTCGTACTCGTGAACCTTGAGATCACGACCTGAGCCAAAATCAAGAGCTGGACGCTCAACCGACTGAGCCACCCAAGCGCCCCTAGTTTTACAATTTCTAAAAAGAGGAATAAAGCAGCGGAGAAGTGCTACCATGTCAGACCGTGTGTCTGGTGGCATCTCCACCCGATCAAGGGTCAGTGGCACCAGAACAGTGAACGCTATGTGAGGGTGGGGACTGGGTCTGATTTACTCACTGTCGTATCCTCGGCACCTGTCATCACAGATGCTCAATAGCAATTTTTTAAAATGTTGAATGAATGAGGAACATGGATGGCAGGGCTCTGCCAGGGAAAATCAGCCACTCTTACCGAAGGGATCTGGTGCCAGAGTTCTCCCTGACGGCTGCTAGTGCCTTGTGACGGAATAAGCAGCTCAATTTATTTTTCTCCAAATTTTAATTTAAATTCTAGTTAGTTAACATACAGTGTAATATTTGTTTCAGAAGTAGAATTTAGTGATTCATCACTTACATACAGCACCCAGTTCTCATCACAACAAGTGCCTGCCTTAATACCCATCACCTATTTTGCCCATCCCCCACCCACCTCCCTCCATCAACCCTCTGTTCTCTATAGTTAAGAGTCTCTCTCTTTTTAAAAAGAATTTTTTTTTGTTAAAAAATTTTTTAATGTTTATTTTTGAGAGAGAGAGAGAGCGAGCATGAGCAGGGGAGGGGCAGAGAGAGAGGGAGACACAGAATCTGAAGCCGGCTCCAGGCTCTGAGCTGTCAGCACAGAGACTGAGCGGGGCTTGAACCCACGAACCACAGATCATGACCTGAGCTGAAGTCAGATGCTCCTCACTGTCAGCACAGAGCCCGATGTGGGGCTTGTACTCACTAACTGCAAGATCATGAGCTGAGCCGAAATCGACAGTCAGACACTTAACCCACTGAGCCACCAAAGTGTTCCAGTTAAGAGTCTCTTATGGTTTGCCTCTCTCTTTTTCTTTTCCCTTCCCATATGTTCATCTGTTTTGTTTCCTAAATTCTACATATGAATGTAATCATATGGTATTTGTCTCTGTCTGACTGACTTATTTAGCTTAGCATAATACTCTCTAGCTCCATCTGTGCCATTGCAAATGGCAAGATTTCATTCTTTTTGATGGCTGAGTAATATTCCATTGTATATGTATGCCAAATCTTCTTTATCCATTCATCAATTTATGGACACTTGGGGGCTCTTTACATAGCTTGGCTATTGTAGGTAAGGAAGCAGCTCATTTCTTATGAGGGATACCTATTCCAGCTGCTATAATAGCAGGGAGAGCACAGACTGCATAGCTAGCCTGAGCTGAAGATGATAATGACCTTCCAGGTATGCAGAGTGTCTTAACCTCCTAGTGCCTATATGGGCTGGCATAAGTGCGTACTGATGCCTTACCTTTAAGATGTTAACATTAGGAGTAAAACAGCAGAAATAGCCTCTTTTCTAATTACTAGGTGACTAAATCTTGATATCCCTATTCAGGCTAATGCTTTGGTCCTTTGACTTTAAAAACTTCATTTATCTTCACTTGTCTTTCAAGCTTTGTGCAAATCACATTAGGAACTTAAGAATGTGAGCCTGTACATGCTTTCTCTTCCTACCTTCTCTTTTCTTTTTTAGCAGACTCCAGCAGAATCAGGATAGCTTTGGAAAATGAGGCAACCACAATGGTAAGTGCTTTAAAATTACGTTTGTGAAACACCTGTCTACTGGGTACCATCCAGTGCCATGAGATGTTTATAAGACTGGGACCTGGTCCGTCCTGGCTGGTAGTTTTTCATCCTTTGGCACGTGAAGTAATTGGTGGCTGTTGTCCTGCACCGCCAGCTGAGCCACTTTAGGACATCAATCACTGGTTCATTTACTTTGCTTTTTCTCTTTTCTTTGTTTCTCCTTCCTTCCTTCCTTCCTCCCTCCCTCCCTCCCTCCCTCCCTCCCTCCCTCCCTCCCTCTTCCTTCCTTCCTTCCTTCCTTCCTTCCTTCCTTCCTTCCTTCCTTCCTTCCTTTCTCTTTCTTTCTTTCTTTCTTTCTTTCTTTCTTTCTTTCTTTCTTCCTTCCTTCCTTCCTTCCTTCCTTCCTTCCTTCCTTCCTTCCTTCCTTTCTTTCGCCCCAATCCCGTTTTTTTATTTGAATTCTTGATGACAAGTGGTTTCAATATAGATGTGAGAGAACTTTGTTCTGCTTTCCGTCATGAAAATTTTGTTTTAGTCTGGCTGTGGTTTGTTGTTCATTGTGGCAAAACATGTATGACATAGGATTTTACCATTCTAGCCATTTTTAAGCATGCGATTCAGCAGCATCAATTACAGTCACAATGTTGTACAACCAGCAGCACACTCTGTTTCCAGGACCTTTTCATCACCCATTACAGAAACTCTGCTCACTGTACAATAACTCCCCATTCCTCCCCGCCCTGCACAGCCACCCCAGCTCCTAGTGACCTCCATTCTACTTTCTGTCTCTATAAATGTGGCTGGTCTAGATACTTCCTAGGAGCGGAATCATACAATATTTGTCCTTTGTGTCTGGCTTCTTTTGCTTAGCATAGTGTTTTTAAAGTTCATCCGTGTTATAGCCTGTATCAGAATATTTTCCTTTTTATGGCTAAATAATACATCTCTGTTTTGATCTTGACATTTTTCTGTTCAGGAACTTTTAGTGCCTCCCCATTATCTGAGAAAGCAAGCTGACACTTTTCAGCCTGACATTCAGGGTTCTGTTTGTCTTGTTTTGCCCTGGGTGGCTGGGAGCTCTTTGATACTAAAACTGCAGTCAAGTCCTGAATAGGAACAGTGGGTCCGCTTCCTAGTATTACCATGCCCAACTCAGTAACTTGTGTCACACTGATGATTTTTTTCTGTCTTCAACATTTTAATCAACCTTTTAATTCCAAAAAGAAAAAAAATTAGCGCTAACAGCAAAATTTTCTATTTATGGAATGTACTAGTAATTAAACTTGTAAATTTTTGGAATGGAGATTTGGCTGTAAATAAATAACAGCATCCCACCATTATGTGGCCAAATGGAATAGATCCTGCCCCTGTACTTTGTTTTTTAATTTGTGTGGGCATATCTATTTTTTTTCCCCAGCTTGATTGAGGCATGATTTATAGACAATAAAATTTACCCATTAGTATAGAGTTTGATGAATTTGGAAATTTTATACAGTCCTATAACCACCACCACAATCAAGATCTAGAAATCCCAGCCCCCTAAAAAGTTTCCTCTGGGCCCCTTGCAGACAATCCTGACTCCTCTTGTAGGTGACCACCACTGTCTATTTTATTTTATTTTGTTTTGTTTTTTGTTTTATTTTATTTTGTTTTGTTTCATTTTTTTTTTTTGAGTTTATTTATTTTGAGAGAGAGAGCGCACGCACAAGTTGGGGAGGGGCAGAGAGAGAGGGAGAGAGAGAATCCCAAACATTGGTGTGGAGCCCAATGCGGGGCTCGAACCCACAAACTGTGAAATCATGACCTGAGCCAAAGTCAGACGCTTAATTAACTGAGTCACCAAGGCACCCCCACCACTGTCATGTTAATACCTACCTATAGTGGACATATCCATGTGTTCTCGCAAGATGAAAAGGGGGCAAAATGTACGCAGATTGAAGAAAGAGCCAGAAAGTAAGCTGGCAAGATATGATGGCAGGAGGACAGAGCTGAGTGGTGTGGAGCCACGAATGGTGTTGGAGGCTGCTGTCTGTGGAGCAGTGACTGTTAATGGGAATGGAACATCGGAATCCCCTCAAGGCTTTGTTTTTAAATATTTTATTAAGTTTATTTATTTATTGAGGGGGGAGGGGCAGAGTGAGCTAGAGAGAGAATCTCAAGCAGGCTCCACGCTGGCAGCACAGAGCCCAATGTGGGGCTCGAACTCAGTTAACCACCTGAGCCAAAACCAAGAGTCCCATGCTTAATTGACTGAGCCACCCAGGCGTCCCCCTCTCAAGGCTTTTAAAACTGCTCATCACCACTACCCAGCCGAGATTCTGACTTCTTTGTCTATTGTGGGTCCTTCACCATATGGGGAGAGAAGTTTGAGAACCACTGTATAGAAATAAGGCACAGTGTGCCAGCTACAGCCTACTATTTATTTATTCAACAAATCATTGAGAACCTATACGCTGGAAACTGTTGAGGCACAGGATATGTATTCCTTCTCAAATATATGCAGATTTAGTGGCATCTAGACAGTGTGTTGCTATACTTCATGAAATCAGAAGCTTAGATGATTTGGAAAAATACTGAAAAGTGGGAACATTTTATTTTTTTTTATTATTATTTTTTTTAACGTTTATTTATTGTTGAGACAGAGAGAGACAGAGCATGAACGGGGGAGGGTCAGAGAGAGGGAGACACAGAATCCGAAACAGGCTCCAGGCTCTGAGCTGTCAGCACAGAGCCTGACGCGGGGCTCGACGGACCGCGAGATCATGACCTGAGCCGAAGTCGGCCGCTCAACCGACTGAGCCACCCAGGCACCCCGAAAAGTGGGAACATTTTGACTATATATAGCAACTTTATAAAAGATCTCACTTTGATATTCCAGCATGAAAAGCCCAATACAGCAAACCGTATTGAAAATTTTCATTCCTCATTGCTTCTGTGAAGGTCTGTCATTTTTATATATCCTCTTCATAGTTGCAACGATCAATATTAATGATTAGTAATGTATGACTTTAATATACATAAATAGGTATGTATGTGTTTTTTAACTTACATATGCATGATGTATATGGCTTCTACATGCAGTTATATATGGGGTTCTATAGTTATTAATGTTTTTTTAATTCATTAATCTTTATTTAAAATTTAGGTAGCTGACTTTGCACACTTTACCTTGTTTATAGCAATTCAAGCATTGCTTCATCTTTATTTTTAATCTCTTTTCAAGCAAGGGGAAGAACAAGGTAGAAAGTACAGCGACACTGATTTAGAAAGCATTCATAAAAATTCAACCGAAAGTGCACTGAAGAGAGTAAATGAAGAGAAAGGTAAGTTATTCAAATTTGAGTCACTGTGTAAGTGAGGAACTGGGGAATATGGAAGGAATACTAATTTTCACCTTACTTGGTTGTAGGTATCGTGAGCAAGTGGGCTGGCAGATTTTTGTTTGCTTACCTAGTGATTTATTTCATGGTACAGGAATATTTTATTACTCACAAAAAAAGAGAATAGTGTAGATCAGTACGAGCCTTTAGAAAAACAGTATTTGTTGCACTATCTACCATAGAAACCATGTCCAGAAATATACAACCTCTCAGGGCTTCATTCTTTGTACATTGTATAATATATAAATATATTTTTTAAAATTTTTTTTAACGTTTATTTATTTTTGAGACAGAGAGAGACAGAGCATGAACGGGGGAGGGTCACAGAGAGAGGGAGACACAGAATCTGAAACAGGCTCCAGGCTCTGAGCCATCAGCACAGAGCCCGACGCGGGGCTCGAACCCACGGACCGTGAGATCATGACCTGAGCCGAAGTCGGGCGCTTAACCGACCGAGCCACCCAGGCACCCCTATAATATATAAGTATTTTTAAAAATTCACTTTAATTATTAGCTTTACCTTTTCATTTGGAGTTTTTTTTTTTTTTCCATTTCCTTTATTACTTAGAAGAACATTGTTGTGAGTGGAGGTGAGTTTAAAGAGAAAAGAAAGACGTCCGTATAGTTTTTCAAGTATATGTGTGCATTTGGATGAATAAACAATATGCTTAGCGGTCCTTTTTAACATTTTGAAATCAGATAAATCAGTCCATCCGAAGAAAGCCAGTTCACCAAGTCCTCTCAGGCGACAGTGGGAGAAAAATGTACCCAACACAGCTCTCACGGCTTTGGAAAATGCAGCCATCCTCGCCTCCAGTTTAGGGGCCGGGGAAGATAGAGGTCAGTAGGCCGATCGAACAGTGTTATTAGAGAACATTTTCTAATGGTTGTTTAATGGGCTAGACGTCGTTCTTGTTGTTTTTATTATCACTCTGTAAAAGATCTTAGGTGTCATGCATGAGAGCAGTGCTCATGGAGACAAGTGAAATAGATTTTAGTAGAGAGTAAAATATAATTAGCTTAAAATATGGTCTGGAAGATATATGCTGACCATTTTTTTTTTACATGGCACTAACAGTTACCTTTTCACAACTAGGTGGTTCTGTAATAAAGTACAGTGAAAATAGCACCCGTAAGCAGTGGCTCAAAGAGACTCCAGAAACTTTGATGAACATCCTCAAGAATGCTGATCTCAGCCTGGCGTTTCAAACATACACAATATATAGACCAGGTGACTCAAGTCTATTATGTAACCGTGGAAACACTTTGATTTTTTTTTTAAAGTGTGGTAAAATATGCATAAACTAAAATTTACCATGTAAGCCATTTTTAGGTGTGCAGTTCAGGGGCATTAAATACATATATGTTGTGCAGCCATCACCACCATCCATCTCTAGAATTTTTCCCATCTTCCGAATCTGAAATTATGTACCCATTAAATAATTCCCCATTTGCCCCTCCCAGAAACTTTGATTCTAAAGTTGTAAATGATTTTATTAAAAAATTTTTTTTTAATCTTTATTTTTGAGAGAGAGAAAGAGAGAGAGAGACAGAGTGTGAGTGGGGGAGGAACAGAGAGAGAGGGAGACACAGAATCCAAAGCAGGCTCCAGGCTCTGAGCTGTCAGCACAGAGCCCAACTTGGGGCTCCAACCTGTGAACCAGGAGTTCATGACCTGAGCCGAAGGCAGACGCTTAACCGGCTCAGCCACCCAGGTGCCCCAGAAGTTATAACTGATTTTAAAGTTATGAAATGATTCAGAACATTGTATTTTTTAGGTTTTCTTGAGTTTTTTTTTAGCCAGTCTTGAGCTATAATTCAGATTTCCCATGGAGCTTCATTACTTTTATTTGGTTTTTATTTATTTTTTAAATGTTTGTTTTTGAGAGAGAGAGAGAGAGAGAGAGTGTGATAACGGGGAAGGGCAAAGAGAGAGCGGGGCAGAGAATCTGAAGCAAGCTCCTCACACGGCACAGAGCCCGATGCAGGGCTCCAGCCCACAAACCATGAGATCACGATCTGAGCAGCCGAAGTCGGATGCTTAAACTTGGACTAAGCCACCTAGGCGCCCCTTGATTACTTTTTATTGTTTACTTGTTTGTTGGTTTTAACAAGGGTGGGACTACTTTGGAGGGTAGTCTGTTTTTACCATGCAGAGTACACCACTGCTTTAATGACTTTAGTTCAGACTCCATCATAGTAAACTTGGAGGAACTTCAAGATTTCTTTTGCTCTGTGCTTGAATTCTGCCATATTGAATAGAGCTCAAGAAAGAGAAATCATTAGGATTTGATTTTCTTATTGTTTCTACAGACATTTTCACTAAAACTGCACGAAATCGCCTTTTGTAATACTCTCTTTAGGAATCCAGGCCGAAGCAGTGCATTAAGGGTGTCTACATGTATGTACATGTGTGTATAAGTTTGATCATTCAATTATTAAGCCACGTTGCTAGGTTAAGATCTAAGACAAATTGTGCCAAGTAAAGCATGTAATGCTGTGGCAAGTCTCAACTGTGTTTACTGTAACAGATTTAGTTGTATTTGTTTATTTGGTCAGTGTTTATTGAGTGCCTAACATGCTAGGTTAAGAGTTAAAAAAAAAAGAAGAAGAAAGAATAAAACACAGTTCCTTCCCTGAAAGAGTGTGGGGGGAACGTGGCCCTCACGTCAGAGGTTTAGAGGAGTGTAGGTGAATTGTGGAGATGTGTCCTGATAGAACCGCCCCGCTGTGTCACAGGAACCCTGGGCGCAGGTGGATACACGGGATGGAGTGTTCAGGAAGGCTAACGGTTGTGAATTTTGTTTTAGCGATTGTAGGTCCTGGAGTTTGTTTTTGGTCCAATGATCAAGGTTTTGTCGTTTCAGGAAAGTCACCGTTCAGAAACTCTGCCATAGCTCTGTTTTGAAGGGTTTTATAAAGATTTAGCCCACATTGTTGTGTTAGGTTATTGTTGCATGAGCAAAAAATAAAGCGATTGCCATGTGGAAAATCTCTTTTTTTTTTTTCAACGTTTTTATTTATTTATGGGACAGACAGAGACAGAGCATGAACGGGGGAGGGGCAGAGAGAGAGGGAGACACAGAATCGGAAACAGGCTCCAGGCTCCGAGCCATCAGCCCAGAGCCTGACGCAGGGCTCGAACTCACGGACCGTGAGATCGTGACCTGGCTGAAGTCGGACGCTTAACCGACTGCGCCACCCAGGCGCCCCTGCCATGTGGAAAATCTCTTGAAGGGACGCTTGTGGTTGCCATTCCCTAATGTTCTTCTCCACCACTGGAAAAAGTTGGGGGTGGGAGCTTAAAGGAAAAACAACTGTAATACAACCATCCAAAGGTAACTTTAATATAGGTTCTTATATTTGGAGGTTTTAAGTGTACTTTTCTGCATTCTTCTTTTGAAGAAAGTACTGCTTGTAAATTTAATAGTGATACTGATGCTTCATGGGCCTGTTTTATGCCAGAAATCATGCTGTGTAATGTGGGGAGGCGCTACCGAAGAAATATAGGGCCTGGCATTGTCCTCAGTTAGCCAGCTGTCTTCTGGAGGATGTTAGTCCTGTGTTCACTAAATAAGTAAATGCTGTTAAAATTGGCATAATTTCTCTTAATATTCCTCTTGAAGGCTCAGAAGAGTTCTTGAAGGGCCCCCTCTCTGAAGAAACAGAAGCATCAGACAGTGTGGATGGAGGCCACGATTCTGTCACTTTGGACCCAGAGAGACTGGAGCCTAGATTGGATGCAGAGGACACGTATGTTGGGATATACCTAGATGGTGTTAGTCGGTGCGCATGATGTCAATTATACCTTAATTTCAGGTTTAGCAGGAACTGGTTATATTACTTGACATCACAAATGAATATTTATATCTTGATCTTTTGTCTGGGATGGGTAATGTGTTTTACAGTATTATTACAGAATTCCTGACTGAGCGGTATTTTATGATCGTTTAGCTTGGACTTACTATTTTTTAATATGTTGGATTTTATTTGCAAATGTTGTAGAAACATGAAAGAAGCAATCCTATGGAAGGGATAACAATGTTTTCCCTCCGTTTGGTTGCCTCATGGAGCTCGTTTTCCAAAAATGTAAATATTGTGATGGTGGCGTTCTGTTTTGAGCCATCAAAAAAAATACTTGCTGTGCCCCTAATATGGAGGCTTAGTATCCAAATTGTTTCTTCACAGGGATTTTGAGGAGGACGACGACAGCCCTGACTGGGTGTCAGAACTGAAGCTGCGAGCTGGCTGGCCAGGAGTGTCTGATGGGTAACGCCCAAGAAGTGCTCTGTCGTTAATATCGCGTAGCTGTTTAAAGTGAGGAATTAATGTTTGGATGGTATCAGCTCACAGGATGTGTATTTTTCTTTGGACACAGAATGAAGAGGGGGAAACTGAATATTTAAAACTGTTCCTGATCAGTGTCACAAGGTTTAAAATATCTGTAACTCTCGAGTTTTTGAACTCAAAGAGAAGGCGTGGAAGAATGGCTCTGAGCTTCAGGCTTGCAGTCAGAACAGAAATGGGATGCTGCTGCTTACGTTTTGTGTGATTGTGGGAGATTATTTAACCTCTTGGAGCCCCAGTGTCCACAACTCTAAAACGAGGATAATAATGCCTTCCTCATAGGGACGCTGAACATAGACCATGGCAACGGCCCATAATGTTATTTCTGCGATTGTTATGATTTGTGTTTAATTGCTGCACAACTCTTTTTACATTTCCTAAAGGTTTGAGGATCAAAATAAATTTAATTAGACCATAATGATGTCGTCCAGTTTTCCAGTAAGACTTATTTCTGGGTAGTGATCCATGATCTTCAGTGATCTTCACCAACAATCCGCCATCCTTAAATACGGCCCCTCATGGCACTCAGCTCAGCGGATCAGCTGTGGGACGGGGTGAAGGGGCTACAGATCTTGTCTGCTGTTGGCAGTCCTGGGCAGGAGAAAGAAACAGGCCAGAGGCGGGACGTATTGGACACTAGAGTGTGCCGTGGAAATAATGGGATGCCAGTATGTGTGGGGCATGACACATACGTGCTGGGGTCCCGTCATTCCATTGTCATTCCATACTGGGATGCTGTTGTGAGGTGAGATATTTTACTATAGAAGAAAGAGGCTTCTCCCAGGGGATCTCCCCGAGCGAGTGTGCAAACAGCAGAAGCCCGAGGCAGTATGGGCAGCAGTGCTCCAGTGAAGAATGGGAAAGCAGTTGAATCTACAGCAGGATGGTTACTGAGCATCTCCTGAAAATGTGGAATACATGCATCTTGTAGATGTAAACCATTTTTTTTTTTAATTTTCAGGAACAAAAACCATGGTATAGCCCTTCACCCCACACATTTTATTTACCCTTAGACATCTAGTCAACTGATTTGTTACTGCTGCTGTTAGCTTTGATTGCTTGATGAAGGTGATGTCTGCTACAAGGTTAAACTGTAAGGTTACTGGTTTTCGATTTCTGGGTCCTGTTCATTCCAAGTGAGTCACCAAGTCCAGCCCATACTCAGGTGCTGAGAAATTAAGCTGTACCTCCTGAAGGGGGCTGTCATCCAGAGCTAAGTCATTTGTATTTTTGCTTAAACTGTTCCAGCTTTGGCCATTGGGAGTTTTTCAGGTTACCTCTATGTCCCTTTGACATGCCCTCATTCTTTTGTGTTTTGGGAACACTTCCTGGTACTTTCTGGTACTACAAGAAGACGGTCTAGGCTCATCTTGAAGCGTCTCTGTCCCAGCTTCAGAATCAGCCATGTCTCCGAGGAACCTTGGTTCCTGTCATGGTTTCAAAACCAGGATCGGGGTGCTGGGTGTGCTTGTTGCTACTGAAGTGTCACTGCTCCTAGGCCCTCTCAGCAGACAGAGCTAGGAAATCCATCTGTGTTTACTGTCCTATGCACATGCACACAACTATAGTCGTTCTGTATCTCTCCATCTGTATGTATATTAAACTAAGGGTAAGTTCATACTGATGTCCTTGCTTCTGATTTAGTACCAAAGGTTCACCCTGGCCTTTCCCCTCGCTCTTCTGTAGCTTCTCTGTCTGATAGTGAGAAACCTGGCCCGAACCATCCACTATCCACTTAACTGCTCAACCCCAGGATACAGATGTAAGCAGTTTCCAAATAATTAGCCCATGCTCCCGTGAGAAGCAAATTTCCCAACTAGAGTACAGCATTTATGTGTTGTTCCTAGTGCTTTTAACCTTAGAGTTCCAGTTAAAACACCATTTCCCAGAGTTACTTAGGTTAGCTCTTTTTTAGCCGCTCTCTTGAAGACTTTTCAAGAATTAAGGTAGGCGGGGGTCACTTTAAGGATAGTTCCGGATACTCAGCTTCCATAAATAACAGTATTCGGTACCTCTTAGTCATCTCAAATTTTAGCATTGCCCCAGGGTGTAAATATTTCCAAACCACCAAACAAAGGGAACTTGGAATTATGTATAGTTATTGAGAGACTGAGTCTTGATTAGATGACAAATCCTTTCAAAAGTCAGATGGTTTGCAGAGTTTGCTTTTATTATTTAAAAAAAAATTTTTTAGGGGTGCCTGGGTGGCGCAGTCGGTTAAGCGTCCGACTTCAGCCAGGTCACGATCTCACGGTCCGTGAGTTCGAGCCCCGCGTCAGGCTCTGGGCTGATGGCTCGGAGCCTGGAGCCTGTTTCCGATTCTGTGTCTCCCTCTCTCTCTGCCCCTCCCCCGTTCATGCTCTGTCTCTCTCTGTCCCAAAAATAAATAAAAAACGTTGAAAAAATAAAATAAAATAAAAAAGTTTTTTTATTTTTGGGAGAGAGCAGGGGAGGGGCAAAGAGAGAGGGGGACAGAGGATCTGAAGTGGGCTCTGTGCTGATAGCAATCATCCCTGTGTGGGGCCTGAACTCATTAACTATGAGATCATGACCTGAGCCAAAGTCTGGACACTAACCGACTGAGCCACCCAGGTGCCCCAACAGAGTTTTGCTTTTGAGGTACACTTTTAACAAAACTTCCTATTATTTATTTAAATGAATGAGATTTCTTAATACTTACAGCTGGGAGGAAGGAAGGAAGGAAGGAAAGAAGAAAGGAAAGAAAAAAGGACGGAGGGAAAGAAAAAAGGAAGGAAGGGAGGGATGAAAGAAAAGCAAGAGAATCATTGTTGAACCTTGTCGATTCTAGCAAAAAGTTAGCACTCATCTGTGGATACTAATTGGGAGGAAGAGAAAAATCCATTGACATCTTTAAGAGATGAATTTCCATAACAAATTTAATGTTTAATGATTATTTATCAGTGTGATTCATTTTATTTTTACCAGTTATATACTACTAGTAATGTTAATAATTCAATAAAAAAATAAAAGCCTATGGTCAGGAAATGTAAATTTCCATTTATATGATAAGGTGATCAATATAACTTTGAAGCAGGAAAACATTACCTGTGGGGATATGAGTTTAAGGAGAGAAAGAAATGATGTACACTTTGTGATTCTCAAAAGAAGCTTACTTAAAAAAAAATGATTGTTGGTTTCAAATTGCTGTAGTTTTTAGATTCCTTTGGATATGTCTTACTTGTGTCAATATTTATAATTGCTGGAAATTACATCCTTTTCAACTACTTAGACATGTAATGAAACGTTTTAGACAGCAGCTTGGTGTGCAATTGGGAGTGGGGAATGGGGAGGAGGAGGAGGGAGCCTGTTTGCAGGCCTCAGGGCGGCATCCAGTTTTGTAAAAGAACCCCCATGGAGGCCGCCAGCTGTAGACAAAACAGTCTCCATCTCTTGACAGTATTTGAGACCTTGCACAAAAAACTCTCCTTGTCTCAATTTAGCTGATTCTTAAAACTGGGAGACCACAACCTTGCTGGGTTGTTGCAAACAGAGATAAATATCAAAAACCGCAAACCATCTGGTACGCAAGAAAGAGGCGCGGTGTGCTTGTGTGCTGGGATAGGCACTGGAGTCCCGACCTACGACAAAGTAACTCCAAACTCCCTGGCCCTGGACCCAACTTCTGGGTGGACTGCGTAGACCCCTCCTCTCGCAGCTTGCTCCCGAGCCCCGCCTGCATTTTCCCGGGCAGCTCCGCCCCGGCGGTCCGGAAGCGGGGCGGTCCGGGGACCCAGATTCCCCCGGGACGCTTCCCAACCTGCGGAATCGGCTGAACAGGTATGCTGCGGGCGGGACGCCCCGGATCCTAATCCCGAGCTGTCCCCGGAGCTCCGGGAGCCGCGGGGAAAGGGACGAGCCCCTGCGGGGTAGATAGGGTCTGCAGGGGAGCCATCCGAAGTCCTGGGCCCGCGTCAGTCTCCGTGGCAACGTGCGACACGCCGCGCTCCGGCCAGCGCGCAAACTCGGCGCAAGCTCGGCCGCCCACGCGGCGGCCCCCTCCCGGGGTGCTTCTAAGGGAGAAGGCTTGTCCCGAGAGCTGGGGGCTTCCACCCACTGGTGCTGTCTGGGCGGTGGGTCGCCGTCTCTCAGGTACGGGGCTGGTGCCCTCGAGTTCCGATTCCCCAGCCACCTTCCTCAAAACCCGATCCTCGGGTGTCTCAGGCCTCCCCTGGCAGCGGAGCTGGTTCCCAGCCCCATGCCACCCACGCAGTTGTCCCCCTTCCTACCCTGACACAAATTATCGAAAACATAACCTGCCTGCTCACGCAAGTTTTAAAAGTGGGCATGATGCCCTAATTGCAGTATAAAGAGCAAACGCAAGGGAACCGTTTACAACAAAGTCTGCATTTCAGTCTGCAAATGCTTGGTTAGTCCACACTTGAAGACGTCGTGAAGTAGCCAAGTGCCCGCACCTGGGCAGGGAGGCACCTGACGGTGACTGCCGCCCGCTATTAGGTTTCGGCCACCAGGAGGAGCGCGGCCAGCGGGGGCGTGATTTTCCCCACCGGGGCACGGTTCTTGGTAATTTTCTAAACAAAAAGTGCAGTCAAGCCTTGATTTACACGCAGTTGCATTCCTCGAAAATTCAGTGTTCGTTAAAACTGCAAAAAAAAAAAAAAAATCTATATTTACATGTAAAATGGAATTTGGTTCTAGCCGCAGGTAATTATAAACGGATTTTTCCACGCACCTGAATGTGTGTGGGGATTTGCTAAGGTTGTAAGGCCGCAGGATAATCCTTTATCTTCAGGACTGTTCCTCGCATCGCAGGACATTAGTATCTGAGGCCCAAGCCACTTCTAAATGCCAGAGTGCTTCTCCAACTCTGCCAAGAACAGGAAAACATCCACAAATTCCCAAGATGTCCCCTAGGGGGCAGCACGTCCCCGGTGAGAAGGGCCGAACTGTAAAACTGCGCGAGCCTTAAAGACATTCCTGCTTTATAGAGATGCCAAGACCCGAGGTGGTGTATCTTTGATTCTCAGAACAATCTTGCACATATGGGAATTGTTATTTACATTTTAGGAATTGGGAAAGTGAAGTTTTCAGAGATTAAGTGACTTCCCGAAGATCACAACACTACACTGTATCAAAGCTGAGTCTGACCTGAGATTCTACCAAAAAGCAGTTTCACTTTGGTTGTCTCCTGTGGCCACAAGGAAAGTTATTTGACTGTCTCGGTGAGGTTGGTAGGAAAATTTTAGCAAAATAAGTTCTTTTACGTTGAGTGATCAATTTTGTGACTTTATGAACAGTGTGTGATAAAATTTCATCGCTCTGATTTCAGGAGCCACCGTGCATTCGAGACAATGGATAAATATGATGTGATTAAGGCCATTGGGGAAGGTGCCTTCGGGAAAGCATTCTTGGCTAAAAGGACGTCGGATAGCAAGCACTGTGTTATAAAGGAGATCGATTTTGCAAAGGTAAATTGAAGAAGTTCACATTCCTGTTCATTTTCAGTATTACATTCAACTGGCTTTTAATTAGGTATGAAAAGGAAACACATTTTTTTTTTTGCTTGTTTGTTTTCATAGTATGAATTTTAAGCCTCAGTTAACTGGTTTACTCAAACTCCTAAGTCCGTGGTTCAAACAGCAACCAATGATTTTATTAGAAAAAGGAAAGGAGAGGAGAGGAGTGGGGAGGGGAGGGAAAAAGAAGAAAAGAAAAATAAGATTATAGCATCTGGCTCCTGTGGCACTTGAGGGTGGCCTGCAAGGTCTGTGAGATTTCTTCTGCTCTATTGCTTGACTTTTCTGTTTGGCCACAGGGTGGTCCTCTTCCTCTGGCTGTATCTCCATCATCGGGTCCCCTCCACAAAGACTCTTTCCCTAAACGTGCCAACTGAGGTAGCAACACACCCTCTATCACTCCTTATTACACTGCCCCATTTTCTGAATGGCATTTGTAATCAGGAATTACTTTGCTCACTTATTTCTTCATGCGTTTATTGTCTGTCTCCTTCAGCATGTAGGACAGTGCCTGGCACATGATAGGCACTCAAAAACATTTATTGAATGCATTGAATGAATGGAGGAAAACAATGTACTTTTGTTAGCTTAACGATTTTGGACACTAATGAAATATATTTCATTGAAAAGGAATCATTTTTGTGGAATTCCTCTCAGCATTTGTGTCACCCTCTCTAGTGATGTGTGCATTTCAAAGGTTGGGACAACAATGCCCATCACATGCTAGAATTAATTTTTTTTTTTTTTAATTTTTTTTTTTTAACGTTTTTATTTATTTTTGAGACAGGGAGAGACAGAGCATGAACGGGGGAGGGTCAGAGAGAGAGGGAGACACAGAATCGGAAACAGGCTCCAGGCTCTGAGCCATCAGCCCAGAGCCTGACGCGGGGCTCGAACTCACGGACCGCGAGATCGTGACCTGGCTGAAGTCGGACGCTTAACCGACTGAGCCACCCAGGCGCCCCTAGAATTAATTTTAAGGCAAGTGTTGTTGGTTGTCTTCTGGAGGATTTATGATTGAGGGTAGCAGAAGACCTTCCATACAAAATGTCTGCAAAATGGGGCTTCTGGCTGGCTCAGTTGCTCAGTCGGTAAAGCATGTGACTATTATAAGTTCGAGCCCCACGTTGGGTGTCGAGATTACTTAAAAATAAAATCTTAAAAAAAAAACAAAAGCAAAATCCCCAGATGTGTGCAAAATGGACTTCATAAGTTGCACAGTGTGAGCGTACTTAATTCCACTGAATTTCTCATTTAAAATGGTGTATATTTATGTTCTATATACTTTACCACAGTTCTTAAAAGTTGCAAAGAAAAAAGGACTTCCCAAACTTACGTGAAAGCTCTGATGTAAGTTTGCTGTATAAAACTCAGGGGCGCCTGAGTGGCTCAGTCAGTTAAGCATCTGACTTCGGCTCAGGTCATGATCTCACAGTTAGTGGGTTCGAGCCCTGAGTGGGGCTCTGCGTTTACAGTGTGGAGCCTGCTTGGGATTCTCTCCCCCTCTCTCTGCCTCTCCTTGACTCATGCTTTCTCTCTCTCTCTCTCTCTCAAAATAAATAAACAAACGAAAGAAAGAAAGCTCTGGTGTAGATGGTTAGCCTCAGGGAGAATGCTTTATTTACCAATATAAGTCCCTTTTCATGGCTCCGGTGGCATACTTCCACAAGTGTCCTATTATTCTAGAGGCCTGTCAGAGTTTCCTTCTGCAACATTGTTCTGCTAACACTCTCTCGTTTATCTGACTGCTCTTTCTCAGGCCTCCCTGTTTTCTCATCCTCTATCTGTCCCAACCATCTGTCCTTTGCTGACACTCTTCTCTTTCCCTGGGCCATCGCCTCACTGCAGACCTCACCAGGTCGCAGGCCACACTTACAACTCTCTCTCCAATGCTGATACCTTCCATAACCCTGGTTCTGCATTTCATCTGCTCTGTGCCACACTGTGCTCATGACATTAGTGTCCTTGTGATACCGAGGCTCAAGACTGGAGTCATCTCTGAGTTTTTCTCTCTCCACATCCAATTACTTGCTAAATGCCGTTGGCTCTTTCTCTCCCTCGAGTTTGTCTTACTCCTTTCACCAATTCCCTGGGTTACCCAGTAGCTTTGTCACGGCTCCAGCAACATTTTGATAATGCTCCAGTCATGTCCCCAGACCTTCCCGTAGACAGAAGTCATAAAGGAAAAGATGGCTAGATGCATTGTCATCTTTGACTGCATAAAAACATCAAACTTCTGTATGACAAAACCCACCACGAATAAATTCAAAGTTGACAGAATGCCAAAAATATTTGCCAAGTATTGACCTAACGGTGCTAGCCTTTTGTAAATGAATAAAAAGAAAAAAAACCCATAACTGAAGAAGTAATCATACTTACTCCTTAGTAAACTAAGAAACAGAAGTCAAACAATTTCACTCTTTGCATATACATTTGGGAAGGACTAGAAGGAATTTGAAAGTGGAGGAAGTGGGCACTGTCTCCCTCTACTGGGAGGAAGGTAAATTGGTATCACAATGAAGAGAACTCTGTGTATCAAAGCCTTGGAAGGATCCATGCTGTGTTTGTATTATAGGTCCGCAATATGTTGTGATGATGAAAACAAAATCAGGCCACCAGCACTTGTGTGTATGTGTGTGTGTGTGCATATGTACTGTTAATGTTACACACACACACTAACTGATTATTGCTGAGTGATGGGATTTCACCCCCACCATTCCTTTCTGCAGTGTCAGAATTTAAAAAATTTTTTTAACGTTTATTTGTTTTTGAGAGGGGAGGGGCATGCGTGGGGGAGGGGCAGAGAGAGAGAGGGAGACACAGAATCCGAAGCAGGCTCCAGGCTCTGAGCTGTCAGCATAGAGCCCAACACAGGGCTCGAACTTGGTTGGGAACAGGGAGATCATGACCTAGGCTGAAGTCAGATGCTCAACCGACTGAGCCACCCAGGTGCCCCATGAATTGTATTATTTGTATAAGCAGGAAAGCTGTCTTCATTTTGAATTTTTTTAATGTTATTTATTTTTGAGAGGGAGAGAGAGAGACAGAGTATGAGCAGAAGAGAGGCAGAGAAGAAGACGAAGACACAGAATCTGAATCAGGCTTCAGGCTCTGAGCTCTCAGCATAGAACCCGGCATGGGGCTCAAACTCACAGGCCATGAGATCATGACCTAAGCCAAAGTCGGTTGCTTAACCTACTGAGCCACCTGGGCATCCCTTCAAAAAGGAAAGGAAAAAAGTATACATCCTAGGATCTAGTACATCGGCTTCTGGGGGTTTATTCAAAGGGAAATCTTCA